TAAATAAAAGGCAAAAATTGCAAGCAAAAAAAATTACTTAAAGTGCTGAATAACAAAAAGACGAACAGTCAAGTTAAGGCCAAGAGGTAAAGAACCAGAAAAATTTAAATGCATTGGTCAAAATTATTGTTAGTTTGTTGTTTTTTTCCCTTTTATAATCATGTAAACAGACCTTAATTAAAATATCGTTATATGTTTAAATCAGAATTCGTAAGCATTGCCTGCCACATTGGTAGTGAGACTTAGGAACCTTTGTTATATAAGCTGCCCTAGTGGATTCTGCGAGAGAATAACCTCAGGGCTTTGGATTACTTCTCACTCCCTCTCTTTTTCTTTTTTAATCACTTTACTGGGGCCTCTTACAGCTTATCTCAATCCATACAGCATTGTGTCAAGTACATAGGTTGCCATCATCATTTTCTAAACATTTTCTTTCTACTTGAGCCCTTGGTGTTTTTTTCTTCCACCCCTCACCATCCCTCCCTCATGAACCCTTGATAATTTATTTAAAAAAATTTTCCATGTTTTACACCAACCACTGTTTCCCTTCACCCATGTTTCTGTTGTTCATCACCTTGGGTGGGGGCGTGGGGATTATACATTGATCATGATCATTGCCATCAGTTCCCCCTTTCTCGCCCCATCTTTTCCTTACCCTCCTGGTATCGCTACTCTTATTATTGGTCCTGAGGTGCTTATCTGTCCTGGACTCTGTGTGTCCTGGATTCTCTGTGTTGCAAGCTATTGTCTGTATCAAGGGGCATGCTCTGGTCTAGCCAGATTTGTAAGGTAGAATTGGGGTCATAATAGTGGGGTAGAGGAAGCATAAAAGAACTAGAGTAAACTTGTATGTTTCACCTGTGCTATACTGCACCCTGACTGGCTCATCTCTTCCTTCTGACCCTTCTGTGAAGGGATGTCCAATTTTCTATAGATAGGCTTTGTGTCTCTACTCAAGGATTTCTTACTTACATAACCAGATGAGGCCATTAGAGAAGTGTAGAGTGGTCAGGCCACCCAAAATGAAGGCAGCCATAATAAGGAGGAGAGATGGTAGATTCAGGAAATTAATACACTGATGTTTCTGAGATCTGATTAGGGGAAAGGGAGCTTAGGTTTTCTTTCTGATTTCAAGCTGTTATCATTAAGTAAGAATGAAGGAGAGGAAACAGTCTAAATGGAAAAACTGTTGAAGAGTGAGAGTTTTGAGTACTTGTGAAATGAGAGAAACTCAAAAAGCAATGTAGCTGTAAACATTCAGGTCTTAATTTATATTTGCAGGTATTAACTAATTTTTAATGGAAGGATTACTAAGAGGAGAAGAAGAGTAGGGGTCAAAGTGAGCTCAAGTTAATTTTTTCCATTTAAGGACTGACTAAGAGGATGGATACTCAGTAAGGAGCAGTTTCACTGTTTTTCACAGGCCTTAAAATTATTAATCCTATGAAACAGTCAACTATATATATACTTTCAAATGTTTTGACATTTGACTTAATGAACTTATTAATGTTTATAGGGGAAAAAATCCCTTTTTAAACTACCTGTACTTTTTAATATCCCTCCCAATCACTCTCCAACTGCTTTACATTCTCACTAGAAAAACTTGGCAGATAATAGAAAATAGAAA